TAAAAATTTGGTGGTTTAATTTGAAGAAATTGAAAAATTCAAGGACTGATTTGGGAAATTATTGTCTATGATTTATTATCAAAGATGGAAAGCTGGAAGGGCATTATGGTCTTTTAGCAAGAAAATAATTTAAAATTCATTTTAAAAGGGTTAATATATAACATGTGGGGAAATAGAGGAAAAGAAAAAGAAAAGTTTTGAAACTTGGCTTTCTCTTATTCTCCCATTGTATTATTCCATGGCTAAGGTAAGTTAATTAAAGTTGGTTAATTCTTTTATTTTTGATTTGGATTTTGTTTTTTGGGTAATGTAGAAGCTTAATAAATCTTAAAGATATGTTGAAACTAAGAGATGGATGAATTAATGGTGAATTAGTAAAATGTGATTTTAAGGGAATTGTTAGAAAATGATGAATAATTGGATTCTAAAGGAATATTGGATTTGTCATAGGTGTAAAAAGAAATTTGAAGTGTTAAAAAGGCTTGAGAACATGTTTGAAAAATTGGTATGATTATAGGTTTCAAGAGGCTTATGGAGAAATTAAGGTGTTAAAGGGGTTTTAATGGATATAAGTTAATGTTAATAAGTGTAAATGAGTTTAAAGGCATGAATGGAGTTTAAAGTAGGAGATTTAAGTGAAGTTGGGTAATTTTCGAAGTGAAATAGGTGAATTATAGGTAAGGGTATCGGTACCGGAAGAACAATACTGATACTATAAGGTTAAAATTTAAGGAAATAATATGAATACGATGAACATTATCGATATTGATTGAAGTAGTATCGATACTGATGTGAAGGTATCGATACCATGAGTAAGGTATCGACACTGTAATTGAAATATGATTTCTAGAATGTCAAAATGGTATCGGTATTGAAGTGGGTATCGGTATCATAGAAGAGAAGTATCAGTACTATGGGTAGAGTATCGATACTATCCAATCAAAATATTAATTAGGCGTTTCATTTCGCTTAAGTAAAGGTTATTTGGTTAGATGTTAATTGAGTTCTGATATTTATATTGATCATGTTAATGTGTAGATTCGATTGAAAGCAACTGTTGAACAAAGTGAAGTATAAAGTTGGGGAGTTAAAGTGAAAAAGTGGTTCTTAGGACTTAAGTGAGGAAAAGGTGAGTGTATTTTTATTTATGCTTTTAAAGTATAGAATGAGGAAGACTTATGAATAGTCAACCTCGGATGATTTGGAAAGAAATTGTTTTTAAATTGTTTTATATTATATATATGTTTTCACTGTTGTGTTAAATGATTTATTTGAATGATTTTGGGTATGAATTACCCAACTATTTTATATGATTTTGAATTACATCATTATATGAGTATCTGGTTTATATGAGTAAATAAATGTTTGAAATAATGATATGGGAAATACAATATATATATATATATATATATATATTATGAATATGTGTGATGTGAATAAATGCTATATAAAATGAAATACTATGAGAATAAGCTCTATGTGAATATGTATTAAGAGACCTTAGTCTATGTGGAATTATTCTACGCAAATGTGATCTATGTAAATAAAAGGCAATTTTAAATAATGATATGCTAAATAACGATATGGAAAAATCCCAAAGTATATGTATGAGAATTAGAGGTATATTTGGCATGCCAAGAGTTGAGGGTAGATGGTCCTTCAGGATAATTCTACGTGGTTCTTCGGGACAAATTCTATGTTATCCTTCGGGACATATTCTACGTGGCACTTCGGTACAAATTATGTGAGCAGTGGTGACTGCATTAGTGCACTCAATGTACTCGCATACCTTAAGTTCTCAATGATATACGTTGGGCTAATTAAATAAATGGATAGAAATTAAACAACTTGATATGAAGTGAAAAGTGTATAAGAGTATATGTAGTTATATGAAATGTAAATGGATTATAAGTTGAACAGTGAATAAAAGTCTAATGTATTTATACGAAACATAAATTGATTTTCATAGTAAGTAGTTTTATCTGAAATGTTTAAATAAATGTTTTATTGTTTTATTTTGCTCATAATGCCTCACTAAGTCATAGAATTAGCGTGTGATTGTTTTCGCATATAGGTTTATAGAGATTCGATGAGTAACCCAAGAAAGTAAGGGCATGGCAACATCACTGAGAAGATTATCAGATCAAAGAGATTTTGAATTGTATGCGTTTTGTATTTGAAATGTTATTGGCATGTACCAAAAATGTTTAAATTGTAGATGCTCTTATATGTTTTGTAAGTATGTTTTCATTTTCCAATAAAAGTTAAATTTTAATTAGATTTTCAAAGTGTCAAAGAGGTAAAAAGTCAACGTGACACCTCATATGATTATTCGGTCGGGGGTGTTACAAAATTTGCATGCACAAATCATTGACCAGCAAGTTGCACCTAAAGTAGCATCTTTATTCGCTTAAGTTGGCGGAATATTCATCTCTTGAAGAGTAGCTGGCCACCTTCAAGGAAACAATATCTTATATAGAGACTTTAGAAGTGAAGTATGATCAAGAAGACTTAGGACTGATCTTCATATGTTCGATGTCTTCTTTCTACTAATCTTCTAGAGATAAAATCTTGTACAATTACAAAACACTCTCTCTTGAATAAGTTTACAATGGCTTGCACTCGTTTGACAAGAAGAAACATCTTGTATCTGGTTTTGAGCCACGGACAGATTGTCTCTTGATGCTTGAATCGACTAGCTCAAACAGTGGGAGAAAAAGTGAGCGTTCTACTGATAATATTGGAAGGGGAATATCAAAATCTTCCAACCAAGGTAAAACTTTTCATTATTGTAAAAAGAAAGGTCATGTTAAATCGGAGTGTTACAAGTTGCAAAATAAAATCAAAAAAGAATCTGAAGAGCATAACTCTGTGAAATCTGGTGGGGTCGGTATAGTAGAGAAGTACAATGACGTAGAACTCCTAGTTGCGGCTGTTGAAAACTTTATAACAAGTGATGAAAGGATACTTGACTCTAGTAGTAGTTTTCATATGTATCCTAATCGAGACTGGTTTTTGACGTATAATGTTATATCTACAGGTGATATATTTTTGGGAAATAATGTCTCTTGTAAAGTCGCAGGTATTGGCACAATCAATATTAAGATGATTGATAGGATTGTTCGAACACTTGGTAATGTGAGACATGTTCCAGATTTGAGTAGAAATCTAATTTCTTTAGGTGCTCTAGATTCAAAAGGGTACAAGTTCTCCAGTGAAGGTGGAGCTATGAAAATTTGCATAGACTCTCTTGTTTTGTTAAAAGGGCAGAGAAAGTCTGCCAAGTTTTATGATCTATAGGGTTCAACAGTTTTAGATAATGCAATGGGTGTCACATTCACGGTTCAAATAATGTTGTTGAACAAAATAATCATGGTTAGAACGGTTATGTGAACCAGAAAAAAGTTCAATTTTGTGAACATAATGAATTTGAAGATATAACTATAATTGATGATCGAGATCGTGCCGTACATGATATTGCTCGTGGTGAAACATTTGTTAGCAAAGTTGGCACTTATGATAACCATGTCGATGTGAAGACTAAATCCAAGCCTAGAAAAAGCTTGGACTCAGTCGTTGGCACTAGTATCGTATGGGGTTTTTAATGAGTTCAACATTTTATGAGTTGTTAGAATTTGATTTAGTGAATACTCGATTTGGGTTAATTCGACTTGAATTCGAGCTCGACTCGAGACCTTAACGATGAACATAGCGTTTGATTAATGAAATTCACAAAGATGTGCAAAGACAGGATGTTTTCGGCCTCGAGAATGCCTTAGGATGGATTGACGAAGATGGAGGCTTCGGAATATAAGAACGCTTATGTATCCGCCAGGCTGGCGCGTGCGGATCTGTTGAGGCTAAACATTTGTTTGATGTTGCTGAGATCATGTTTCTCCTTCTTGATTTATGGATTGGATAACCATCTTTATGGAGTTTTGAATTAAGCTCAAATTCGAGTTTATCACTATATATGCTCGTTTCAGCTCGATTACAACTTAAAACAGATAATATTGTTAACTTTCATTAGAATAATAGATGTGATTTATTGGGATAACATTTTGATTTTTCTGTAGATATCATCAATATAATATATCGGTAGATACATATATGATTATTTGGTTGACTCAAAAGTCTGAAAGTCGAATATGTTAAATTCCTTCCAAATGAAACTTATATGCAACAGTGTGAGAATTTATTGTTTTGCTCATTAACTAAAATTTGGTTTGGTTCAGATTCTCATTAAATTAATTTAATCCTAATTCTTGATGGGAACAATTTGGTTATGTAGGCCGCTAATGGTTCACACCTTTTAGTTTGAGCGGAGAGTTACAATCGATGATTGAACGAGAATTGGTTGGTATCAACATCTTTTGTATTCATGAGGGAAATGAGTGTAGGCTAGGGTGTTCAGTCATTTTCTCAATTTTGGCCTAGAGATTTGTAGTGACCCTCAATGCTAGTGTTAGACCTAGAGACATGATGATTATTTGTAGGTTGGTAAGATGAATAGACTTGATTATCGTAGTTAGATGTCGATTGATTTTGGGTTTAACAAATCACCTGGACCTGCCAAAGTTCAATTGTTATCATATGAATTATTCATTTGTTATTGGAATTGTAACTATATTTTATTTTATTTATCTAAATAAAACTGTGAATAATCAAATTTAATAATTATAATATTAATTGTATGTTACGATATACTATTGATTTTGAACTATTTTAAGATAAGAGGCACTTGGTAACTAATTGATTTTAAATCAAGTTACAAGATTAATGTGCTAGATATTTTAACAATTCTTTATAAATTTTTATTGAATTTCTATTAAGTTTTGAATGCGCTAGATATAAATACATTATTTGTAATAAATACGATTAATGAGAATATCTTATTGAAAGGGGAAAAAAAGGAATTGTTATAACTAATATCAAATAAAAAGCAACAATTAACCGAAAGAAGTTGATCAATAATCTAATCTAGGTATTCTAAACGAAGATCAAACTTTTTCATCCATTTCATGGCTTGGGAAAGCATTGTCGTCGTCTACATGCTTGCCCCAATAAGGGTGGTTCTCCCAAACAATGAACATTTCTTCAATGGGGACTCCCTTTGTCTCGGGCAATAACTTATAGATGAAAATGCTCATACCCACCACACAGAATGCAAAGAATATAAACAGTCCGAACTTCAAGTTGCAAAGCATAGCCGTAAAGACTTGAGCAATGGCGAATGTGAAGATCATGTTGACTGCCACCGTAATACTTTGAGCAGCGGGACGGATTTCAAGTGGGAATATCTCACTAGGAACCAACCAGCCCAAAGGACCCCATGAATATGCAAAACCGGCTATGTAGAAACACATTGCTACCACAACGACAACGGAGAACCAAAGTGGAAGTTGACCCGGATTCCCATTCGTACCGAATTTGGAAGCGATTGAAATAGTCATCACAAGCTAGGCAGAGAAGAGAAAAGAATGAATTTAGCAAGCAAAATCAAATGCTTAAGTGTTGGTGAATGGAAATAGTGATTATTACCTGGCAAAGAAACATTTGAAGGCCACCGGAGAGGAAAAGAGTCCTCCTTCCGTACTTGTCGACGGTGGCAATGGAAACAAGTGTTGCACAAAAGTTAACGATGCTAGTGATGAGTGCGGACATAAGGGAAGCGTTGTTGCCAAACCCCATGCTCTTGAACAAAACAGGAGCGTAAAACACGAACACGTTCATCCCGGTTAATTGTTGGAACAAGGGAATCAAGATTGCAAAGGTGAGCTGAGGCCTGTACTTTCTGCTTACAATATCTCTCCAAGGGCTTTGAACCAACTTGGCTGCCTCACTGGCCTTTGCCAAATCTTTGAACTCTTCATCAACATTTTCGATGCCACGGATCTTTCTCAGAAGATCTTTAGCCTCCACCAATTTGTTGCGTTCGAGCAACGAGTTGGGCGAGTCCGAGAGGAAGAGACAACCAATGGAAAATATCAAACCAGGGACGACGGCTCCACCCAAGCTTACTCGCCAACCCCATCCACCTTCGATCTTAGCAGTGAAGTAGTTCAACAAGTTGGCAACTAATATACCAATGGTGATTGACAATTGGAACATAATGTTCAAAGCTCCTCGGTATTTGAAGGGAGCTATCTCAGATAAGTAGATCGGAACAGACTGCAAGTAAAATTCAGATATAAACAAAAACATATACGATACCCAGAAACAAAACAAACAAAAACTATGGTGATAAGTACCTGATTGGCAAATCCAATGCCAAAACCCAGCAACACACGGCCAATAATAAGCATGGGTACGCTTCTAGCAAAGCCGTTGAGAATGGCGCCGATGGTGAAAAGTAAACCTCCGAACATCATCGTCTTCTTCCTCCCAAGTCCTCGGGTTATCCGAGATGCTGTCATGGATGAGAGAAGAGCAGCCAAATATAACGAAGATGTAAACAACGTTAATATTTGGCTGTCAAACTTACAGTATTGATCGTCCGAAGGTTGGACAGATACTTGTTTCCTATAAACATTCGGGAAGAACTTTTCTAGAAAAGGATCCATGGATGTAACTCCACCTGCAAAATTTATCAGTTCGCCATTAATATTCCAAACAATCTTTAATGATAAAAGAAAAAGCAAAGAGAGAATGTTTGTTTACCAGAAATCCCAAGATCATAACCAAAGATTAATCCACCCGAAGCCGCAACAGAGCAAGCGAAAAAGACCTTTGAAGTAAAATTTCCATCGTAGCGTTTTCCCGCACCGGAAGAGATGCCTCCACGACGGCCATTCTAATAGCTGAGAAGAAAAGGAAATCGCACTGGCACCAAAGGCGTGAGGTAAGTAGAAAGATTATGATAAAAACTTTGGTTCTGTTTAATCTGTATATATAACGTATATGTAATCCTATTTCAACGCTTACTCCTAATAATACTACAACAAAAACTCTATCCATTCATGTCAATATTAACTTCTAAAACATGATTATATTGACGTTAGGACTTTGATTTTCTTTGTACCTATATTTTACTCTAACTATTCACGTTAGCTATATTAATTATTATTACTATTTCCCTCAATAATATATTTCATTTAAAAATATTGCAGGATGAAGACATTCTTACTGTCTTAGAATTTAGGTAAAGTTTAATTAATTTTCTCTTTTAATATTTTAATTTCATTAATTCAATAATAATTTGTTAATTTAATTTAATATTTCACTTTATCAGAATTAAATGATTTTTTAAAGTTATAAAATTAATTTTTTCCTATCGTATAGATATAGTATTTTGATTATTTAACTATTATTATCATGATTGGTATGTTTATTATATAATAAAATCTTTAATAATATTATAAATTATTCTAAATTTATGTGATCATTATTAGTAGGAACAAATCATGATGCATTGATTTAATATTTTACTTTCGAACCAATTAAATAATTTTTTAAAGTTATAAAATTAATTTCTAAATCATTTTAGTTCTTCTATCCAAAGAAAAACAAAATTACTAAAATTCAATATACAAATAGCTTATTTTTATAATATATAAATATTTTTTATTTATGATTTAAAATTAAAATATTTTTGAATATATGATATCTTTTATAGAACACTATAAACGAATTATCATTCAAATACATATATTACTATTTTTTTCTAATTCAATAAAAACATTATATTTATAATCAAACCATTGTCACAAAACTATGTGATGAGTAGCGACGGGCATAGGAGGGGTAGAACCAGATTTCTGGTCAACCCGACCCAATTCGATCTAAAAATTATACATCCTCCACCGGAATTTGACCTGACCCGAAAATATACACCCTCCACTCGACCCGAACTGAAATAATATATTTATTAAAAAAATTATTTTTATTCAATACAAATAGGGATTTAATTAAAAAATAATAATATATAGAGGGGCGGTATTTCAATTATCCCTAAATATAAAGGTAAAATTATATGTTTCTCTCGCGTCGGATATTTTTCACCCTAAACTCGAACCTAAACCGTCTCGAATATAACCTTTAAAAAAATTCAAACCAACCCAAACCCATATTTTTATTAAAAAAATCCGATCAGATCGGGTCGGGTCAGAACCTATCGGGGTCCTATGCTCATCCCTAGTGACGAGACACTAGAGCCGGAAGTGTGTCTCAACTGTGTATTATCCGATACCAGTAATGTTTCAGACATGACACATTCGATCATGTTTTGCATGTATTTTTTATTGGCAAAGCAATTTTATTAGAAAACAAAATACAACGAACTTGGTTATATGCCTCGTTAAAAAATTCTCTAATCCCTAGTACATATAACCATGCAAAGAAGGAAACACCAAAAATCCCTTACACCAACAACACAACAATCACCTAACACAGACCAAAGAAAGAACCAATCGAGAAGAACTCCTGAAATTCCAAACCCAAATACAAGAAAATTAAACTACGACTAAGCCAATTACTAACTCTTTTACTCAACTACCTAAGTATGATCTATTAAACCACCAACAACAAAAAAAAAGTGGTTTACATTCGATAGAACCACTCAACAACCAAATCAGACATATCCTCAAAAGAACAAAACAGGTAGCCACAGCCCACAACATACAAACTCCAACAAAGGGTCCATGAAGCCAAGGGACCAAAACTGGACCAAACAACTTCCAATGATGGATAAAACACGCCTAACAATTGGGCACAACTTTGACCTTGAATAAAATTACGCAAACAACCAGACAACCAACACAAAAGAAAGGAGACTAACAAGAACGAACAAAACTACCACCATGCCTTGAAAATTTCAAGCCTCGAAATACCATCATTAGCCTACCAATCAAATCATAAATATCGCAAACCACACATTCTGTAACCATAGGAAAAAAATATGCCACTAGCTAATCCAAAACTCCATCCAGTACCCAGATCAACCCACCAAATTAGTGGACGAACTAAGTGGACAACAAGAAGGCAAATCAACTCTTTGGACTCTCGAAGCAACACAACATGATAACAATAAGACTTATATAAAAACTTGGAAAAACATCATCTTCCTCATAATAAATCTGACCCTAATCAGAATCGCACCAAAGAAGAGATTGATTGTCAATTCCAGATTTACGGATGCCAAAGGCCTGAACGCTACGGTTAGAGGCTATACAATGAAACTAACAAAATCTCCAAAACCTAAAAAAAACTTCAAAACATGCTAATGGAATGAACCTCAAATCTAGAAATTAACTAAAAGCCACAAATAAAGAAATCATTTTTCTTAGATTAAGTAGTAAATATCCCAAAATATCTATAGCTTCCTTCTTTGACACTTGCAACAACACCCTCTCAACCTTAAGTTTCTTCAAAAGTATCCTAAACCCTAAGGATTTTACATCTACCCTTCCAAGATAGAATATAATTTCAAAACTATTCTTTAAGCCATGTTAACACCAAAACTTTAAAGATCAAATGCAAACCTTATCTAACAATGCTAATTCCTTCATTACCTCTGACTCATCACCTATTATTTTGAATCCTTAATTTTTTTCCTAAGGATAGAGTCATCTCAACCTCTTTATATGTCGTCGACCACTTTCTTTTGATATATAAATCAAAAAGTGATCATCCTAAAAGTTTAAAAGACTCCAAATCTTCTTTCTTCAACTTATGTTTATTGAGAGATCGATCCCTTTTCCTTTTATTTGTAACCGATAAAATATAATCTTGAAATTTTAGAAGAAACTCGTACCTCTTACCTTATGTTGGCCGCACTAATTCTAGAAAAAAAGCTTGATACTTGTTCCTCTTACAAAAAAAACTTCCCTTTATTATTATTCTCTAGGTCTTCATTCAATTTTTTTTGTTCTAAAAGAAGGCCCATAAATCGAGAATCTTCTATGGCCGTTGAAGAGATTGAGCTATGTTAGAATTTGACTCGAATTTAAAGTGGCACAAATTAATTAATATATAATTATTGAGAAAATAGGAAACCCAGTTTGATTAAAAGTAGAAAACTTTATTAAAGTAGATTTATACTTTATTTAGTTTTCCTTTTTAATCAAGTATCTATACCTATAAATAGATACTAAGTGTCAGGGTTCGATATCAAGTTCTTTTCTTTCACCAAAATCCTCTTATATTTTCTTCTTTCATATTAGTAAAATTCTTCTCCTCTGCCCGTGGTTTTTCCATTTTGGGTTTTCCACGTAAATCCTGATATTCTTTTTTTCATTTTCGATCGTGTTTATTTGTCTGTTGATAATTAAAATTCCAATATTATAAAAAAAATGGTATCAGAGCTTCGAGTTCAAGATTATTGCAACAATGAAATATGATATTCCGTTGTTAGATCGAAACATCAGGTTCTTGTTATGACAGGTGAAGATTAGTGATCTTATTGCATAGATAGATCTCGACGATAGAGTAGAAGAATTTGATGAGAAGCCGGTAACACAATGGATGAATGAGGAAAAGCGTAAGGATCATAAGGCTTTTTCTTAGATTTGTTTACACTTATCAAATCAAATTTTTCATGATGTGTTGAAAAACAAAGATGCATCTTGGTGGGTGAAATTGGAAGAAATTGAAAAATTCAAGGACTGATTTGGGAAATTATTGTCTATGATTTATTAGAAAAGATGAAAAGCTGGAAGGACATTAAGGTCTTTTAGCAAGAAAATAATTTAAAATTTATTTTAAAAGGGTTATATATAAGATGTGGGGAAATAGAGGAAAAGAAAAAGAAAAGTCTAGAAACTTGGCTTTCTCTTATTCTCTTCCACCGTATGCTTCCATGGCTAAGGTAAGTTAATTGAAGTTGGTTAATTCTTTATTTTTGATATGGTTTTGTTCTTTGGATAATATAGAAGCTTAATAAGTCTTAAATGAGTTGAAACTAAGATATGGATGAATTAATGGTGAATTAGTAAAATGAGTTTTTAAGGGAATTGTTAGAAAATGATGAATTATTGGATTCTAAAGAAATATTTGACTTGTCATAGGTGTAAATAAGAAATTTGAAGTGTTAAAAAGGCTTGAGAACATGTTTGAAAAATTGGTATGATTTTTAGTTTCAAGAGTTTTATGGAAAAATTAAGGTGTTAAAGGGTTTTAATGGATATAAGTTAATGGTAATAAGTGTAAATGAGTTTAAAGGCATGAATGGAGTTTAAAGTAGGAGATTTAAGTGAAGTTGGGTAATTTTTGAAGTGAAATAGATGAATTATAGGTAAGGGTATCAGTATTAAAAGAATAATATTGATACTATAAGGTTAAAATTTAAGGAAAGAATATGAATACAATGAACATTATCGATATTGATTGAAGTAGTATCGATACTGATGTGAATGTATCGATACCAAGAGTAAGGAATCGACACTATAATTGAAATATGATTTCCAGAATGTCAAAATGGTATCTGTACTGAAGTGGGTATCGGTACCATACAAGAGAAGTATCGGTACTATGGGTAGAGTACCAATACTATTCAGTCAAAATGTTAATTAGGTGTTTCATTTCGCTTAAGTAATGGAAGAAAATGTTGAACAAAGTGAAGTATAAAGTTGGGGAGTTAAAGTGAAAAAGAGGTTTTTAGGACTTAAGTGAGGAAAAGGTGAGTGTATTTTTATTTATTTTTTAAAGTATAGAATGAGGAAGACTTGTGAAGTGTCAACCTTATAATTTGGAAAGAAACTGTTTTCAAATTGTTTTATATTATATATGTTTTCACTGTTTTGCTAAATGATTTCTTTGAATGATTTTGGGTATGAATTACCCAACTATTGAATTACACCATTATATGAGTATCTGGTTTATATGAATAAATAAATGTTTGAAATAATGATATGGGAAATACTATACATACATATATATATATATTATATGAATAAGTTCGATGTGAATAAATGATGTGAAATGAAATACTATGAGAATAAGCTTTATGTGAATATGTATTAAGAGACCTTAGTCTATGTGGAATTATTCTACGCAAATGTGATCTATGTAAATAAAAGATAATTTTAAATAATGATATGCTAAATAACGATATTGAATAAACCCAAAGTATATGTATGAGAATTAGAGGTATAGTTAGCATTCCAAGAGTCAAGGGTTTTACGCGGTCCTTCGAGACAAATTCTATGTGGCACTTCATGTAACATCGCAACAAGGCTAGTGACTAAATTGCAAATTTGGAAAATTATGTGCTTGATTTTGAAATAAGTTAAAAGTTTATGGACTTAATTGATAATTTTATTCAAGAGGATTGATTGGTAAATATGAAAATATTGAAGGGAAAAATAGTTATTTGACTACCAAGATAAATTTTTTGGGCTATATGTTACACGTGGGGTGAGTATAAGGAAAAAAATAGTTCCAAAATTCTCTTCATCTTCTTCTTTCTTCAAAACGTGGAACCAAGCTTGATAAGGTGAGTTCTTTGGTTAGTTAATTATTCCTTGAATTCAAGTTGGGTTTATGATTATTGAGTGCTAATTAAGCCTAAGGAAGGCTTAAGGTAGCTTAAAAACAAGGAATGAAAGAGTTAGGAGAGATTAAAAGTAAGGAGTTTTTAAATGAAATTTTGATGAAGAGTTGATAAGTTAAATTGGAAGTTAAATTTGACTTGTCATCAATCTAATTAATAGATATGAAGTGATAGAATTGGATTTAGAACAAGTGGAAAAATTGGTATGATTCTTGAAGTTCATGTAGAGGATAGGATTTTGAGATTTAAGATATGATAAATGAGTACAAATGAACTTAAGTATGTGTATTTGAGTTTAGTATATGAAAGGGGTTGATATATGGCACAATTGAGCTAGAATGTTGTGATTTTTATGCTCAAAATGTAATTCTGGGCTAGGGTGTATCGGTACCCATTCAACAGGTACCGATACATCAGAAGTAAAATGCAGAAAGATATACAGAGGGTATAGATACCTAGGCAGTGTATTGATACCCCCTTAAAATGAAAACATCAAATGTAATTTGGGTATCGATACACAGACAGTGTACCGATACCTCAGTTGAGGGATGTATCGATACCTTATAGAGTGTATCAATACCTATGTTAAACAAGGAATGAAATTAGTCTTTCCTTTAGTGTAGGAAATGAAAGATTAGAATATGTCATATAGAATATTGATATGTATAATGTATGGTTATGTAGATACCAATCGAAAGAAAGTCCATATCAGTCGACAAGTATTGGGCATCGAAGAAAAGATAAGAGAAATATATTAACTAGTGAGGCCAGGTGAGTGCACATTATTTAGTATATGATGTTTAGTGGGAAAATAATACTTGCGACAAGTCTATTTCCAATAGTTAAATGCATGAATTCATAGATAGAAGTATGAGTTTACGATAATTTATATGTGTGCATGAATATATGTGTTGACATGTTATTATGTATGGTACATGATTTGTATAAGTACATGTTAGTGTGATAAGTTATGTGAAGCAATACAAATAATCTATATGATTCTATAAGAATAGGAAATAAACTATGAGATAAGGAGATAACGAATGAAATGAACATGTGACATAGGTTATAAGCTAAGGAATTAATTGATATAAATATATGTGAATACATGATAATATGATGTAAGTTAAGTTATGTCATACTAGACTATGAAACTGTATGAAAAGATATGAACTATACGATATGACATTGTGAACATACGAGAAAGCATATAAGAGATAATGTATTATGTGATATATGTGAGGTATGGAAAATATATGTGAACAAGATATGACAATAATATACATGGATACGAACACAAAAGAAGTGTTATAAGCTAAGTGACATATGATTGTGAAATCATATGATAAGTGAAATGTACATGTGAATATGTGAAACAATATGAAAGAGAATGCCCATGTTATATAATATGAGAGCTATAGGTATAGTTGGCATGCTAAGAGTCAAGGGTTACCTATGTCTTTCAAGACATATGGACAGTTTACCTATGTCCTTCGGGATATATCGACAGGTTACCTATGTTATTCGGAACATATGGATAGGTCCTTTGGGACACAGATTTCATATGCCACTTAGTGGATTTTATACAAGTTGTGGTGACAACATATGTGTGAATAACCTCATAGTACTCGCATACCTTGAGTTCTCAATAATGTACATGGGCTAATAAAGAGATAATCATGAATACAATGTATGTAATATATATTGATGTGTGATATGATTTGTATAAAATGATATATGTGTGTTATGAGTTATTACATAAGTTATAAGAATGGATTATAAGATATATGATATGAACATAAGAGATTATACGAATAAGAGATAATAAATATGAATGATAATAGTGTATGAGTATGATAGAAACATAAATGAAAATGTGTGTGTGTATGTATGCATGTATGCATGTATGCATGTATGCATGTATGCATGTATGCATGTATGCATGTATGCATGTATGCATGTATGTATGTATGTATGTATGTATATATGTATGTATGTATGCATGTATGCATGTATGCA